TAAGAGGGTAGGGCTGGTTCATGGCTGGAAAGCACCAGGGCTGTAATAATATACGGTTGTATGCCGAAGGACACGACCTACTTATAAACACACGCAGAACATTCTAGCATGCTCTGGAAAAAAATTGTACTGGATATTCAAGAAATTCCGAGAACTTTCTTTCCAATCAGATAAGTTGACACCATGTTTTTCTGTTATTGCAATCATCTCGAGTACTAATTCACATTCCATGCCATCTTCTGAGCTAAGTAAGAGATAGAAGAGTCCCACAAGAGATATTGGGAATCAGCTCGCACCGTATGAACCTTCTTTGTTATCCGACACCCATTCGCAATCCGGGTCCTCTCTCCTAGCGAACGTCACCTGCACGTGCTCGGAGACGTTGAGCTAATCACAAATGATTACCAACTCTCTTTCTCTGTTCGCACCCCACAACCAATTCTCGTCAAACGCATTCCAACTATCATTGTGACCAATGAGAAGGAAGAACTATCATATCAAGGGAATAATTTGGGAAATTAATTCATTTTTATGTTTATTTCCCTTCAATGCGATACCTGTGCCTATCGAGATACAGTTCAAAAGGAAGTGAAGGAACATTCTAGCCTCCTGACTTTCTTGTTCTACTCTGTTGATAGGCCAAACTAAAAGCTCCTGACGCCCACAGCACCCTTGTAAGTCTCTCGCGACATAGGTTGAGAACCGCTGTTCTTGGGAATCAATCCAGTATCCATGGGTTCCACATGTACCGAAGACATCGGAAGGTTGGAAGCTTTTGAAATGTGTGTGTGGAGAAGGATGGAGCAAATATGCTGGATAGAACGAAGAACAAACGAAGAGGTACTGGAAGTTGTTGGGGAAAAAAAAGAGGACAAGTGAGAAGAAAAGTGATCGTGAAAGAAAAAAAGAGATCGTGAGAAGAAAGAAGAATTGGATTGGACATATTCTACGCAGAGAAGGATTGTTGAAGGAAGTGATAGAAGGAAGAATGGAAAGGAAAAGACCTAGAGGAAGGAAAAGAATTGGCATGCTGGAGGAACTAAAGGAGTGGTCGTTTGTAGAAATGAAGAGGACTGACAATAGATTGGAATGGAAAAGATAGATGTCTAGGACCTTCCAATAGGCAGAACACTTAAGAAGTAGAAGAGAACCATGACTGCATCTCCTCCAGCTGAGATGGTGGATTTCCTACGGAGGGCACGAGGAGGGGCTACGAAAGAATGCCGTTCCATTATCCGAGCTGATCATGGGATTCTTCTCATCAATTCGAAATTATATTACTAAGTTTGGTTTCGAATCTTTATATCGACGAACGATGGAGACGTTTCCAAGACAAAGACGCAGCAAATATAGTGGTTTATAAGATACTCAAATAACAGACCTTTGAAGACCTTCCCGAAGCAGCCGTGTCCGATCTCCTGGTCAAAGATGATGTCGTCTTCCGGAATAACTTTGATTTTGTAGTTGACGAGGAGATTGTCGGCAGAGAAGGGCATGGCGNCTCAAATAACAGACCTTTGAAGACCTTCCCGAAGCAGCCGTGTCCGATCTCCTGGTCAAAGATGATGTCGTCTTCCGGAATAACTTTGATTTTGTAGTTGACGAGGAGATTGTCGGCAGAGAAGGGCATGGCGTAACTGGGGTTCAACGTCGCATGCTCCCCATCCAGCAGATCTCCCATTCGCCTCTTAGCGAGCTAGAAAGCCAGAAAAGAAAGCGAAAGAGCCAATATTTATTTTGGGCCTCTGTGAACCGTCCTAGTCATAGATCGATGAATGGTGCATGGCAACAGACGAAGAAGCTGAACGTCATCCCACTCACTGAGATCTAAGCCAGAAAAGAAAGCGAAAGAGCCAATATTTATTTTGGGCCTCTGTGAACCGTCCTAGTCATAGATCGATGAATGGTGCATGGCAACAGACGAAGAAGCTGAACGTCATCCCACTCACTGAGATCTATATCTACTGGGTGCTTCAGAAGTCACACACCGATAGGTGAATATGAAAGCACTTTCCTGCGGGTTACGACACACTTGCCCACACTGAAGTAAGATGTCAATGTTATCAACCTTCGAAAGAGACATGGCTGTTGACGATCTGCTTACAATCTTCAAGGAAATGCGTAGAGAAGTAAACAGAAGCAACGCACGCAGTTGCACGAAATCTTGAACTTGTCCGGATTTGAAGAAGCAACATATAAAACAAGCTCAAAACTGCACAGGCATGATTCACGGACTCTTAACCGATAGATAATTCCCAGAACAGACTTTTCCCAGAGCAGACCTTTCTCAAAACGGCCTTTTCCCAGGAAGGTTTTTTCCTCGAAAGAAGACTTTCCCGAAGGACATTGCCCTGACGGTCGAAGGGAAAAACATCCCAAAGGAAAGTTCCTCTTCATTCCCGAACGGAGTGTTCCACTCAGCAGGCATGATTCGTTGCATGTTTTTTATATTATTATTGAAGGCTTGAAATGGGCAGGATACGACACCATTAGAGTGTCTCCATTGTCCCCGACCGGAGTAAATGCCGCCGAGTCTTGATAAAGGTCTCTTCTCATAAACAGTTATATTTTCTTTTCTTTACGCCACTCGACACCTCATACTTCTTAATTGCGCCACTGAAAACTTCAATGGGAGGAATCTCACGACGTCACTTTCTGAGAAACTCAGCCAGACGAAATTGCCTGGGGCTACAGCATCTAATGAGGGGTTGGAACTTTTTTATTTCAAACGGAGCCGGATTTTGAACTTGCGGATGCACTTTGAGAGGTGTACTTCCTCCCACAAGGGGTGAAGTACCCTCGTATATATCTCGGAACAAACAATTCCAGACTGCAGATGTGACTGCTAGCTATAGTGGAGACGCTTTTGCATCAGACGTTAAATATTTTCCATTCGTGTTTTCGTGTCGATCATTTCACTGTATTATTTAAAGCAGGGGTTCTTAACCTTTTTCTCCCCACGCACCCCCTGAAGCTCAATCTATCCACCACGCACCCCTGGTTAAGAACCCCTGATTTACAGGAAGGTAAAGAAACGCTACACTGAATTATGGATCGATGGTCATGAATTCGTGAATTTCAGAAAGGCGATTATTGACGGACTTTCTAGAAAGAGAGTTGCTTTAACTCACAAACCTTGCATTTCTTTCATGGTTAAATTGATCAGACTTGAGCAGGAACCTCCAGTAAAAGGTTCACAATGAAAAGTTTAATTTGTCCAATGCAAAGGTACCTGAAGCTGCATGAGACTGAACTACGATTCCCTTGGAATTTCAGAGTAGTGACCATCTCCAATGTATTTTTAACACCGTTAAAGCGCGACAACGCCAAGAGATCTTTAGAGGTTTTGTTGTGCGAGACGTCGAAGGGTTTATACCTTCTTCCAGTGGCTCCCAATGGGATTTCTTGCTTAAAGATGCAGATGGACGATCTGAATTTCGAGAAGAATGAAAAAATGTCAAGACAATGCAAGCAGTATCATATTGCTTTTAATAAGACAATTAATGCATTAGTTTCTCCTGACAATTTGGACATAAGCTCCCTTTGATAGGAGATTCTATAGTGCTAATGCGCCGCAGGATCAAATTTCACGCGTCATTGCGTTGAAATTCCCAATGATCTCGATCTCTGACAACATTGGAAGTCTTCTAATTTTCTTTTGAGTAAGAATCCCATTCTAAAGGCATTCAACTGCACAGTGGATGCGTATTATCTTCTTCCCGCAGAATATGACTTTCTAGGTTCGTGAAAATTAGTTTCTCCGCAATGAAGGAAACCTTCAAAATTCGGTCTGCTCGTTACATTCAAGGAATAGATGACCAGTAGTGAAAAGTTTCCTTGATAACTGCAAGAAATTGTTGGAAGAAAAAAAAAATAAAATTTTGAAATCTTCTAAATGAATTTCACCCAGAAATTTGTGAAATGCATGTACATACGCGTTACAGACTCACTTCTCGATTCACGAACGATGGGACATCTGCTTTCGAGAAAGTCACAAATGCATAATTGTGCTATAAGTTCAATTGATTTCTCCTTGCCACTAATTTTAATCATAAAGAAAATCTTTAATCCACCTAATGTGAGATCTCCCACCTATGCATGCCCTAATTGCCATATCCCCTTGACGTGGATGACAGGGGCGTGGATTAATAGGAAGTTGATTAGATACTGCAAAATATCATCGGGACACTGATTCCTTATTAACAATGTCCTTTTCCTGCAATATTTTGTCCCTTCTATCATACGAAGTATGATCAAAAAGTTCCGAGACTGAATTTTTTATGACGCTGCGGTGACTCTTTTCGGCTTCTGATGCCCATATCCTTCGAAGTAGTCCTCTTTGGCATCTACACAATTTTTCCGGTGTTTATTCAACCGCTAGAAGCATCACTGGTACTCGTCGTTTGGTATCGCCTGCAGCTCTCACGTTGCGTTGAGCGCTGCTTTTGTAATGTTTCGAATGTCCTGAAATCTCCTCCAAGTTCAAGTTAAAATATTAGGGGAATCCGTATAGTTTTCCTAACTGTAATTATACTAACGTGGTTCAGTTCGGGAAAGTTTGCGTTTATGAACGTCATCCGTCCTTAAATGGTTAAATGCGATTAATTCTTTATATCCTTTTATCATTGAGAGGGTTAAACATTTAACTAGAAGAGTTTTATCAATTTTGTGAGTGGATAAATGAGTATCCATGAGAACAGGTATAAATATGTATCCCTTCTGAGGTTACATATATAAAACACTGAATGGGAAATCGTCTTTCGATGAAAAATGAATCATTTATTCAGCTCCAGATAAAAAAAAATTCGTATTTAAGTGATTTTTTAAAAGCGAAGGAAATAAGTACATGTACAAGGTGGGCCATATGTATCAGGTTGTTGAACTGTCATTGATCTGATATGTGCATATGCTATAAACGACATGGGACTCATGACCCACCCTGAAGATGAGCCAGTTTCTCATTTTCGTAAAACCCTCGAACGACTATTTTCAACGAAGGAAAATAGGGTCCTTGCATATAAGACCAATTATCAACAATCAGAAAAATTTTTCAAATAGACCATCAAGAAATGGAATAAATATATATTTTTGAGGCTGCACATTTATTCACAATGAGATAGTTCTTTATAGGAATCGGATGTTACCGACCAGAGTTCAGGTTTTATCCTTTTCAGGGTTAAACAGAAGAATATCACCTCGTTCCGTGTTTCGCCTTGCTTCATTATAGGTGGCAATAAACGCAGACCCTTCCGCATTCATTATTCCCATATTCGAGACAAATTCCTGGATCTTAGACCAAAAGAAGCTTGTCTTCACTAACAGTACCCCGTACGTAAATAAACAAGCTGCATCCTCATGGAAAATTAGAATCCCCGGAAGTAAGAAAATGGTCCCTAATCAATCCCTAATTTATTTGTCCTGACAACTGGATGATAAAGTTGGGAAATGATGTTTAGGGCACTCAATGGGCAAGAGTGCCCTAACCTCACCTTCATGACCACATGAATACTAAGAGGATTACATATTAAGCCAGGTCGATTTATTATTTACTCATTTCAAAAAGATTTTTTGAAATATAAACTATCGAAAAGGCTAAAATGTACCCCACAAAGGATAAATATAAGTTGCAGTTGAAGCACCCTTTAGGAGATGAAAGCTGAACCATTTTCCAGAGCTGGTCGATAAATAATTTGCTCAGTCTCTTTATTTGGTACATGTCTGGAGCTCACTCGCTTCCCCCACTCCATTTCCGATTGGAATGTTTTTTCTCTCTCTAGCTGCGAAGTTTTCTTTGAGTTAATTGGGTACCCTTTTCTCACAAGCAAGGAAAGGAAAATGAAGAAGAAAATATAACAAGATCGGGGAGTCGCGATGAAGGAGGATTCATCTCAAGATTCTCCCAAGGAATATCTGGAGAGTGAATGACCATGATTTGGACATCCTCTTTGTCCTGCCGAGACTTCCAGGCTGTTTCGAAGAGCACAATGCCCTCGAACGGTCGATAAACCCTTACTTTGGAAATTGAAGAAACCCATAAAAGAAATGGAAACGCTTTAGAAAGGAAAAAAAGATGGTGATTGATGTGTTTTGCATTTCTCAGACTAGGTGGCAGAAGTTTCTCGCTATTGGTCATCAAAAGTCTTGCGTCTTTCAAACGGAGACAATGTCAAAAAAGGGTTAAGAACTGGAAAGTGGAGACATGCTGCTCGCGTTGATGCTAACGGCGAAGTTTATCGGGAGAAGACGAACCTCGAGTGGCTGGGAGGCCTTCACGGAGTTCCTGAAACGATGGCGCCGGAACTTCAAACAGAGGAGGGCGAAGCCAACAAGCATGATCCCTCCCACCACGGACACGGCCACAATCGCCGCCTGCTTGCTCGTTTCAAACTATCGACAGAGCCGAGAGAGAGAAGGATCTTTCACAACTGGGACGATCTCATTCGAAGCAAGGATTCCATCGTGTGCGTCAACTCACTCGATCGTTGCGATCCGTAGCGGTAGTTGTGTCTTCCTTCCCGAACAAATGCTCCTTGATGTCGTCCATGGGGATAGGTCCTGTCCGGTTCACCACGGCTGAAAGGAGAAGAGACTTCCGATCATGCGCATCAATCATGATACTGAAGAAAAGCCAACACAAACCGGCAATATTACGATTGCCTGGTATATTTTTTAGAAAGTGTCTTCAAGAGCACCTCAAAAAGTGAAATGTCAAATTTTAATTCGCTGCTGTTCGAAGCAAGGGGGAAAGTGTCACCAAACCTGTTCATAGGTCTCTGTCGAAATATACCTACACTCTTAGAAAAATGGGAACGATTTTTCTCAAAAAAGAGAGACTAGTCGCTAATTCCAGTTTCTCCCCCCTTTCACTCTGGGAAAGAAGCGAATTTGCTCCATCACCAAGGAGTAAAAATGCTCTCCTCCTCCATGAATAAAAGTGCTCCCCTCAGAAAAAGATCGGCATGTCATGCAAATAAGCAAATCCTCATATACTAGTATAATGTGTGCTGCTTTCGCTCTCGATTTTGTCAGTATGGGCGCTGACCTACATCTAACTCTATTGATTTCAGTACATGTTAGAGGATAGACCACCTCTTACGGTTCACGATATCAGTTCTTCATTTCCTCGTTCTCTCATTAAGTTGAGGAATAAGACGAATTGACTATACGAACACGCCTTGTATATTCTAGATCTCCTCTGCTTCTACCTTCAAATGGATTCTCATCAGGAACATGAACTTCTTCATGGCCTAAGCTCTATGAATCTGTCTCGAATATGTGGATAATAAATGAAGAGGTGTCCAAGTTTATTGATCCCTATAATGGGACTAGGCAAGATTTATGATGAGACACTAAACAATCCTACGAGGGATGACTCCCGGGAAAGAGGGAAGAGAACTTTTGTGAACTGTGCGAAAAACGAGACCCTTGCCTCCATCTAGTGGCCTGGCAAAGAACTTAAATGTGTTCACTTCCATACGAGAGATGAGGGAGCATTTGGCGAGTAATAGTGGAGTACATTTGAAAAGCTCACAGTGTGCTCACTTTTTACTCCCAAACGCTAGGAATTTTCTAAGAGTGTAGACTTGGATGTCACCAGGAATCTCCTTGTTAGAAAGTAGCGTAAAATATTTCAAGAAGAAAATTTGTAAAGTTCACAGGTACAAGAAAGCATACTAACCCGAAAATTCCAAATAACAATAAAAATCATGCATCTCCGGAAAGAGCTTGGAGAGAGCTTTCATTTAAAACTCGTTTTAAGCTTCAAACTTGTTTATATCTTGTTTGAAAGAGCCGTCAAAGTAAGCAAAGTAAGCTAAATGGCAAATTTGGACTTTTCTAATTTGCTTTGCTGTTGTTTGAAAGAAAGCAGGCAGTAAAAATTAAGTTATTTTCATAGCTATTAGTTAGACTTGCAATTTTGCAAAAGTTCATTGTCAGAACATCGACGCCAAAACATCGACGTGACAAAACATCGACGAAATGAAGCGTCGAAAAACTAATTATTTTTTCTCTAATTTTTTTTGAGACCGCTAATTTGAGACCGCTAATCTATACTATATTTCAGAATGTTTGTGAGTCTGTCTGTCTGTCCTTTATGCACGGTCACGCCTCTGATCCCAGTCCGACCCAACTTTGCATGGCTTCATTTGGTCCTGGGATGGTCATAGGCTAGGTGGCGTTTCAAAATTCGGACCCGGCAGGACAGAGCAGGATCGGGCCGGCCCAAGACCAGGGGCCGTATTCTATTGCGTTCTTAAGTGCGATTTTCCTCTTAGCAAGTTGCTTAGCTGGTATTTGCCCCATTTAAATACATGGCCGAGGTTGAGCGATTTGCTTTAACTAAGTTTAAGATTTTAATAGAATACGACCCCAGGACTCCCTCACCTCCCCCTCGCCCCAGACGGTCGCCTGGGTCGCTTGCCCCTAAATCCGGCCCTGCCCCTGGGTACCTTATTTAGTGCAGACAAATATGGGACGTATACAATATTCACCCGTACAACGCCGGGTACCTCTGCTAGTATTACATAACTTCCGAAGGGCCTTTGTTCTGATCGTTTATCAATCCAGGATGACCGATGAAAGACAACTTGAGGATGGCATCGTGGCTTCAGCAAGCATCTTACGACTAATTATCCTTCTATCTGGAAGTTTATCAACTGTCTCCAAAATGAACAGAACCTGAATTAACTTAGGATGGAACAGTATATTGCATGACAAGACCCTCCTCCGAGCCACAAAGTTATTCGTCAATGCTCTCTCCGAATAAACTCTTTTGCTTTGAGCAATAGAGCATTCTATCTATCTATCTATGAGCAGCGACTATTGAAAGAGTATTTACAAATGATTGCACATAATTTCAATCTCTAGGTGTAATGCTGATCTGCAACAGTATACCGTGCAATGACAGGCTCCTCTTTTCAATATGTTCTTCTGTTCTCATCGTTTACAAAATGTGATACCTTATTATAAATCTGTATTCCTTTCATTTCGTCTCTCTTGACGTGGTTCGAATTCATTTTAATTTAATGTGTACATATCAATAAAATGTATTTAAAAAATTCGGTACTTCCATTTAAAGATTTAACATTTTTCTCTTCGGTACAAAATCAGCTGTACCATATACATACATTTATATCCGGTGATCTACGAAATCTGCCCACATGCTTGCTTTTTTATTTCAACCGTCTTTGATGAAAAACAAACTGCAACCGAGAAAATTTACTTTACATTATAGGTGGATATAGGATATAGGAATAGTTCCAAGATGCTTGCAGAAACCACGATGTCTTCTTCAACTTGTCTTCCATTGGTCATCCTGAATTGACAGATGATCGCATCAAGGCCCTTTGGAAGCTATGTAACATTAGCAATCTCAAAGAAATAGCCGATAATAAAAAAATTGGCATTTGGACGTTTAATTTCGTCAATGTTTTGTCGCTACGCTGTTTTGGCGTCGATGTTTTGAAATGGAACCCAAATTTGGACTTTCTAATTTGATTTGCTGTTGTTTGAAACAAAGTAAGCAGTTGAAATTAAGTTATTTTCATAGTTTCATAGACTTGCAATTTTGCAAAAGCTCATTGTGTTACCGTATTTCCCAATGTTCACAAGTTTAATACAAAATGTAGCATTTTTTAAGTTTTGAAAATTCATAACTCTATTAAGATAAGGAAACGCATCTCAGCGAAATGTGTTTAAGCTTTGTCTTAACTTTGATTTGAGCCCAATGACACCTTTCTAGCTCGATTAAGGGGGGAGATAGCTGTTTTATCCATGGGATCAATTTTTCCCCCGGGAACTAACTTTGGGGCAGAATATCTCGAGAACTGTTTGTACTGAAATTTGGGATTTTTTGTTAGTCAGGGAGGTCACCATGCATGAATTTTGAGAAAATCTCTGTCGGACGCGCAACGAAAGTACCTGAAAAATTTGTCAACTTGGGAGCTGGAATGCCTTTCTTGCGTTCTATACGTCTAATGGCTAGGGGGCGATGTAATGCATCGTAGCCTTCCCACTAAGGTTTTTCTCCTTCAAGACTTTCCTACGTAGGCTAAGTAAATCCGGGAAGGGAAAGCTTTCGTGTTTAGATTTCCTTTGTTAATCACACAGCTTTCCCTTTTGTAGACGGCCTTGCAAGCAATGATGGAATGGTATATAGGAAAGAAAGTCGTCGATAAGAACCGTATCGAATGCTATCGCGTGATAGTCATAACGGCCCTAATTAACGGCGGTATACGTTCACCTCCTCCAATACCTCCAATAGCGCACCGTGTTTCCCACACCATCACCCTAGCAATGACCTAGGCACTGACGTCATTTTAGGGTAGCTGATGGATCACGTGCTAAACCCAGAGACACTTCAAGCTCTGGGTTTAATACGTTATGAAGCTAACACAGCTATGAACCTGCAGAAAGCAGAGCCGCAGGAGGAAATGAAATCCTACATCAATGACAAAAATGGTGAAATGGATATCGTTGATCCACTAATTAAGTGGAAGTGATGAAGATATGCGGCGCTTGCCTCCCTTGCTCGTAAATCCCCGGGAATTCCTGAAACTTTCGTCCCATGAGAGCGACTCTTCTCAAGATCTGGATTTGTTGGATACAAATATCGTGCATGCCTTGCGGCAGAGAACGTCGATCTGTTCTTCCTGGCCTTGAACCGCGATCTACTATGATGGGATGCATTCAAGTGGTTTAATCCCATAAGGTCAACATCCATTATCAAAATGAAGGGATCTTGTCCTTAAATAAATGCGCCTTCATATTACCCCCCCCCCCCCCACGGTTGAACCCTGACGACATTGCGATGTCGATCGATATATGGGCCGGCGATGTCGATACAATAAAAATCCAGATCGCCCAGCCCTATTCGTTATTCGGTGCTCCGGTGCTACCTGAAAAATAAAGTTTTCAACAGTAGAAGTCTCACAATCCGTATTTAACATGGACAGGCATCTGAGCGACGTCTGGATCTATAAGCTTTGGGACGTAAATAGATCTCACTATCTAACCTACTCCAACTTTGAATTGAAAATTGAACATTTCCGGTAGCATTTCTTGATTTTCTCTCCCCCAATACAGACATGACGATGAAAGAGCCAGGACATACAGGCGTAATATGTGGGACAGGGCTGGTCACGGTCTGGCTCCTTCTGAGTCCCGTAAAAGCAGCGGCAGGACACGTACTTATCTCCTCCCAGCGGTGCACATCCGGAGTCAATCGGGCATTCAATGTCGTCACAGGAACCTTTTAGCAAAGAAAAATTCAAATGGGAATGCGTTTTATCGAGTTCAGAACGAGAAAAGTGGGATTTGGTGATAATTGTTACTCTTGCTCTCATTGGACATCTGAAGCGTCATGCAGTCAAGATTGCTATAGTATTGCAAGAGAATAATTCCCGGAAGGACTAACAGGGCTCACTTGGAGCATGAACGACTCATAGGTCATGTGATACCGTTGACCAAACAGGATGAGACGTAAAAATAAATTTTTAAAAAGCCACAGGAATAGGTCTGCCATGCAACCTGTGATTTGAATACTGAGATATAAATTCATTTTAAATTAGACAATTTCTAGAAAAACAAAAAATCTTTCTGCATTGAATAGCTGAAGCCCGTATAATCAATAGGGTCAATCAATCGGTAAGATCGGTAGCCCCGTGACTAGGCCCATAGGAAATACTTCATCTCACGCAAATGGCATTAAGACTCAAACCGGAAGCACGACAAGGCTGAGAGGAAGAAGCCCGGACTCACCCTCCACGACATTTCGATGATGCAATCTGCGGGCAAGTTCGGGGGCGACTGGCGGGACGGAGAAGAAAGGTCGTTTAATCATCTTCTTGGATTCTGTCAATTATAGAGAAGATGGGGCTGATTGCACCAACATCCAATTAGGGGTTGCATAAAGACGAATGATTCCCATAGATATCCCTCGATCAACTCTATACCTTTGCATTATGAGCATGGGAAGATGAAAGAATCATAAGATGTTTATGGTCTTGTTTATCAGACTCATTAATCATTTTTCTTTTCGACCACCTGCTACTCTCTTTTATGAGAGACATTTCCATCTTAAATTATGATGTACTTGCAAGCAGAATAACACGCTGCTTTTCGTTCGACATGTTTAGATCTGTTAGCAGTCTTGTAATGCATCATTCCATGTCTAAAAATGGTTAGGAGAGGACCCAAGGGAATGCCGAAAAGATGAGAACCCAGACCTTTCCTTATCGAAGCCATGCACGCTCGGTCTACGAGGTCCAGTCAGTCACGAGCGACTTCTCATAGAGGTCTGCGAACCGGTATTGTTTCGTTTGACGCGGGGAAGAGGAGGATGTTTGCAATGAGAGGCGGGGATTCTTTTCTCTTTGCAGTTCGGGCATGCTCCGTCAATCGTCTGGACTTGATTTCTGTGATATGGATGACCTGACAAGAAGATGAGAGTTCCATTATCACTCTCAGCACTCCTGTGCAAAGGAAAAGATTCCTCAGTTCTTCCATCTGAAATCTGGCAGAATACTCCCCCTCCTGGAAAACTGCTTATTCTTCCTTTAGTCGATGAAATGGCATCGGTCTACGGAATGGGGTTGGTCTTCAACTCCTCACATTTTGATGAGTTTTACCTCCGATTGAGCATATCATACATATGGGACATGAGGATACGGATAGGACGCAGTCTGAAATCAAACCTTACGTGCGATACTCACATGTCTTTTGAAATCATTATCCATTCAACCAATTTTCTCCTTCGATAATCCACCGGGATTACTTCCCTCCCCTTGCAATGTAATTCTGTCGAAGACTGAATTGACCTGGTTGTCCAAGGAAATTTCCAGGATTTAAAACCGCTGTAACTATCGCAAATGTGCGCGTATCAACACGAAACCTTTTGCAAAATTTGCAAGTCAGCAGTTTTGTATTTTTCCTGCGTTCCGACGTATCTTCAGGATGACACCTCCAGATTCGACTGACATTTGCGCTTGGGAAATTGAGATGCACAGAAACCTTACTTGGCTGCGTGAGCAATTCGGTCCCTCTGTTTAGAGCATCTGTCGAATGTCATGGCTGTCTTCACGGAAAGTCTCCAAAAAAGGTTTAATGTTTGGGGTCAGCAAGTGAGGATTGCATGGAATCTTAGACTTGAGTAAGCACATTTTGACAAGTTTCTGCAGGTATATATGCTTCTTTATGAAAGTTATATTTCCTTTAACCGAAATTTTCCTGAAGTTAGCAACAGACATATGCATTCTTTGATATATGAGAAAATGAGGAACAACCATGATTTTCAGCCATGGCTCAATGAACCAAACGTTTCGGCTCGTGAGCCTAATTTGACCTAAAGGTTCCCGACCCCTGGTGTAGAAGGTCTTTATAGACTTTTTTTTTTCAAGACAAAAAAAAAACATATTTGAGATTCAGGTGGATGTGCGACTGTAATAATACTAAAAGATATTGCAAAAAAGGTAGATGATATCAACTAGCACTGCACTAAAGGCCAACTTTCTCCATTCTGTCAGTCCTAGGGTTAATTAGCGTGAGCACATCCGCACTAAGTCGGATGCATCAGAATCACTTACCAACGTCGCATGACCTCCCTTGAGCTAATGAACAAAGGCCCATAACGCATGCTAGATGCAGACAAGATTAGGAACACACGCTCCCCCTTGCTCCCCTTGCCCCTTATGTCCCCCTCGTCCCCCTTGTCGATTGATTAGATAGTGACTTGGTCACCAGGGGATTCGATTTGCAGGGAGTCTTTCCCTTTGCATGCGATTATGAGATCCGTACGAAAGGAAACAGAAGTGTCAGCAGCAAAATAAAACAAATCGCTTACGGTTTAAAAATGAGGTGTGAATAGGCGATTGCTTTCCCAGGCAAGAAATTGAGTAAAATGTGACTAAATTTGAACAGAGAACACAAGAAGAGTAGTAAGGTTTGGACGACTCAGAAGTCCGAATTTCAAGTTCAGGGTCTGGACATAAACTAGATAAGTAACCAAGCAGTGAAGCGAGTTTTTTTTTTGCTGCTGCAGAGTGACATTTTTGCAACATGGACGAAGGGAAGAGATGATGGAGGATTGAGACCAAGGAAATGCAATTATCATTATCATGAGGCTGAGCGAAAGGGAATGGAAGACTGAATTGAGGGAAGGATACACTATTTTTCTATGCATGTCATGTTTTTCCGCTTCCCTCGCGATTCATATTCGACATTACGGGGATGGATCTGGGACTGCATCTCGGGCTTGTGCGGCTTTCATTTCCAATCCGTCCCCGTTCGTCGATCGTGCTGAAGAGGAGACAATATGGTTTAGCTCGATCGCACGATAGTACTGACAGATAATGAAACAGGAATGGCGTGTTGACCGTCATAAGATCTTAAAGATATAGGGAGAGATGCATGAAACTGAATCAACGTGAATGTATATATTTTCATCGGGGCTTCTGTGTGAATGAAATCGAATCAGTTGAGTGGATTTTCAGAGCAAATCGACAAAATAGAACGCATCCAAATTTGGCTATGGTCTAATACTTCAGCCTTCTCGAGGAGGGACGTTACAACTGGAGACGCCCGGAGGAGACGGACTCCCGCGAACACGACTGACTCAAAGGACTGTGCTCCTTGCAGGCTGGGCATATGCTTACTACCATCATTCGTCAATTACAGACTCTCCGACTAGATAGGGAAAAGGTTTAAAGCAGTGGCGTAGCCAGGTTTTCATCAATGGAGGGGGTAAGCGGAACGTTGGGGGGGGGGGCTTACTTCTCCTCGTCGGGGTGGGGCGTGGGGTGGCGGACGCATTCCGACCAGAGTTGAGGGGGCTTGAACCAAACTTGGGGGGATTGAAGTCCTCCCCTCGCTACGCCACTGGTTTAAAGCCTCGGGTAAAATATATCTAGGTACATATGTCCAAAAATGGGAAATTTCTATTGCAAGATTCGTTTGCATACAAACAGAGCCATCTCCTACAGCATGAAATGCTTCTAATGAAAATGAATGGTGAGTTACGTTAGTGTGAGCTGAAGCAGCAGACAGCGAGAAGAGGGATATGTGAGAAACACAAGTCATAGAGCATCCACCTACTAATCAAAGGCACAGAGAAGTGCTGCGCTGCACTGGCGCTGGAGGCCCAGGCCCATGCTATTATAACTTGCGAACATGCCCATGCGTGCAGCATGGGCACGTTCTACGTGTACTACACAGGGATTCTCTCGTTCAGTATGCTGTCGAAGAGGAGAGAGATGGCCAGAATCTAAAAGGTCTCTCTCTTGTTTTCCTTCTAGGCTGACAACATGGCCTAAAATATGGGCA